AAGCCAGCTTCAACAATTTAGCGAGGCTCTAAGCCTCTAAATTAATGAGATCCTATCTCAAAATAAAACATAAAACAAAGGGCTGGGGATATGGTGGCTCAGTGGTTAAGCATCCCTGGGTTCAATTCCCAGTACCAACAACAACAAAAAAGAGATCAATGCTTCTTACTCATTTCTCCAAATCTCAGTAAAAAGGCATACATAGCAAAAAAAAGATATTCACCCTCAATCCCCAGAAATGTGGACAAAAAAGAAAGCCAAAAGCATATAACAGAGGCTGGGGTTGTGGCTCAGCAATAGAGCACTCGCCTAGTACGTGTGGGGCACTGGGTTCGATACTCAGCACCACATAAAAAATAAAATGAAGGTATTGTGTCCAACTACAACTAAAAACAAAATAAACAAACAAAAAAACATATAACAGTGTTAGACATACATTTCCTAGCAAAGGTGAAATGAAAGACTAAAGTGTTCACTGGCTTCCCCTTTCTCCTAGATAGACAGATGACAAAGGCTAACCGAATCGTACCTTCATACCTACTGGAAACTACTTCCACAGACAGACAGCTGTTGGCTTAGTGAAATCTCCAGTCATAATGCTCAGGACTGCTGTAGAGAGGCCTACTGTTTGACATCTTCATGTAGACAATGGAAAAGGGATATAAGGGCCCTGATTATCATACCGAGCAACTTCATTACTGCATACAAACCCAGAATATTCAGCAAAGAAAGCTAGTAGAAATCTCTTTTATTCCCACCCCTAAACCTACAAGGGTCAAAAAATAAAAGACTATTTCACACAAAAAGGACAGTGAAAAATTATGAAAAATGCAACTCAGCCAGGTACAGTGGTACACACCTATAATCCTAGCACTCAAGAGGCTGAGCCAAAACTGATCACAAGTTTGAAGCCAGCTTCAGTAATGTAACTAGGTCCTAAGCAACTTAATGAGACCATGTCTCTCTCACCAAACCAATAAATAAATAAGCAAGCAAGCTTGAAACATTTAATAGAAATTCCAGAAGTATAAACACACTCACACTTGGGTCCTACTCAAAAGTAATGATCTCTGATCATCAGAATCTGTATCAAGTTGTTAACTAAAAATTGGAGGAAAGGAGAATAAATGAGTGGACAGAAACATTTCACCTACCATAAACACTTTATTCATTCTGAAGTCAGAATTTCTTCCCCCCATATTATTATGTCTTTCAGAAGATCCTTAACTACTGTGTCATAAGGAGCTTAATCTACATGCATTTCATCAATTTTAATAAGCCCAAAATATAAAAATATATTTATTTTCCTAGAATTATGATTAGAAATTACCTGACATATGGAGGAAGGGGAAGGAAGAGAAAAAGAACATAATCATGTAATATCAAATGCTCACTAAGTGCCAGGTGCTATGCCAAGTGATTTACCCACATTATTCACCTAACCAAGAGTCATTATGTAATGTCACTTCTCAAGAAGCTCCCTAACCATCTCATTTATTCTTTCAATACCTTGCTTCATTTTCTCTCTCAACACTATCAAATATTGTATTATTTTATCAACTTTCTGATATCATTTTCCTCCAGTTAAAAATAAAGTTATATATACTCTGTCCTTCCCTGCAGCATCTCTAGTATCCTAACAAGAACCCCTTGAGATACTGGGAACAGAGGGAACTGAGGCCTCAGGAGGTTAAGAAACATGCCAAAGATAACCCAACTAGGGAATAACATCTGACTACAGATGCATTCCTTTCTATCTTTCTTTTCTTTTTTTGAGAACACTAAGGATTGAACCCAGGGCCTCAAGCACGTTACGAAAGCACTCTACCACAGAGATACATCCCCATCCCTGCCTTCCTTTAAGTATGAAAAATTATATTATATTATATTACCTGAGTATGAAAAATTCTCTAGAGATTTCATTCTCAAAAATTTTCCTTTCAGAACAATATGCACACAACCTATGGTAAAGGCTACTAAAAGAATGCTGATTTAATCATGAAATCTATGCAGTTCAGTGAGAGGATTCTATCACATAGTAGTGCCAGCAATCTGTCCTATGAGTAGTGGAGGAATAAAAATTTAGGAAATGAGGCTGGGGTTACGGCTCAGTGGTATAGCATTTGCCTCACATGTGTGAGGCACTGGGTTCAATTCTTAGCACTGCACATAAATAAATAAATAAATAAATATCCATCAACAACTAAAAATATATATTTATAAAAAATAGGAAATGGGGTTTGACTATATAAGGATATGGAAGGTATCTTAATGGGGATCAACTCTAATGAATACTAAAAATTAGATCAGACAAAAATATGGAGCTTGAGAGAATAGTCTATGGGATTTGTGAGCATTATTTAATCTCCAAATCCTTTCTAGATATTATTAGGTCCTTGAAGTTAGAGGCTACCCCCCTTAATTATACTCCTGGCAGTACATGCCTATAATCCCAGCAATTTGGGGAGGCTGAGCCCAAGGGAGGATTGCCAAGTTCAAGGACAGTTTTAACCTTTAGTGAGATCCTGCCTAAAAATAAAAAAAATAAAAAGGGCTGGGGAATATAGCTCAGTAGCAAAACACCCTTGGGTTCTGTATCCTAAACAATAAATAAATAAATACATTAATTAATTAATTAATTGTATTCCTGAAAAACAGCACCACTTTGTATCCTATGCATAAGGACTACTATCTGTCAAAACACTCTAGTTCATAATTGAAAGATTACTGGCCCTGCTCCTGCTTTATTCACTGAACAGGGATCATTTATCAGGGATCTGGAAGACTTAAGAATGTTCCCAGAATGAAGAGGATAAGGCAAAATGTTGGTAAGTAACCTCCTCTCAATACCATTGATGTAAATGAGCATTTTCCCAGATGTGGTCCAATAGAAAATGTGCCCAAGAAAATCCTTGGTTTTACAAAAGGCTGCATTAGTTCTGTTTGAAATTATCTTTTAGAGGACTGGATACTTCAGATGAAATTTTTTGTTGGAATGGAGGGAAGAGCCAGAAAAGAAATACTGATATTTTTAAATCAAAGATTAAACAATGCTGATAAAAATTAATGCCACTCTAGGAAAAATATATAATAATAATACAGGCGGGCACAGTGGTGCATGCCTATAATCCTAGCAGCTTAGGAGTCTGAGGCAGGAATAATTCAAAGTTAGCCTCAGCAAAAGCGAGGCATTAAGCAACTAAATAGACCCTGCCTCTAAATTAAAAAAAAAAAAAAAAAAAAAGTGGGGGCTGGAGATGTGGCTCAGTGGTCAAGTGCCCAAGTTCAATCCCTTGTACTCCAAAACAAAACAAAAAGAATAATAATACAAAAGATATGGGCTGGGGATGTGGCTCAAGCGGTAGCACGCTCGCCTGGCATGCGTGCGGCCCGGGTTCGATCCTCAGCACCACATACAAAGATGTTGTGCCCGCCGATAACTATAAATAAATAAATATTTAAAAAAAAAAAAAAGATATGGCATCTCCTCAATTATAGTTCCACTACTCCCAGAATTAAGTACTGTGGCAAAAAACTGATAGGAACAACTTGCTTATAACTTAAAACTATGTTCTCAAATTTGTTCAGACTGTTGAAAAAAACCATAAAAATATAGATTTAACCCTTTATTCTCTTCAAAACTGGAGAGTGCTGATTTAATCATGAAGCCTATGCAGTTTAGGGAGGGAGGATTCTATCATGTGGCAGTGCCAACAGTGAAAGAATAAAAATCTAGGAAATGTGGTTAACTACATAAGGAGATAAAAAATCCCCATAAAAAAATTTTTTGGAGTACAATTTCTGATAAAAACTAATATTTGCTTGATGATTGATTCAGTGATGAACACTGAATAGTCAGTAAGAACCCTTTTAAGTCAATAAGAACCCTGTTAACCCTGCGTTCTCTGAGGATTTGACAGTCCTTATGCTAATAAGATGTAAGGTTATCAAAAAGTTTTTTCATATCAATGCTTGCTCCCAAAGCATTTAGGGTATGTCATTTCCATATCCATAAAGGGAAAATACAGCCAAAGAAGGAAACAATGTAATGAGTCATGCTGAGTGGAGCAAAGAGGAAAAAATCTCATGTAAAAACTACTTTTCTCTGACACAGCCTTCTTTTGAGATGCTGGGCTCACTGCAATCACATTGTTAAGAAAAGGCAGTGGGTACATAAAAATCAATATTCCTAAATTTCTTATTCCCACTTTACAGATGGAGGAACTGAGACACCACAAAGAAAACTACTTTCCCCCAAGGAAACATTGTGTCAAGGCAAATTCTATCTATTTAGCAATTCCTCCCCAAAACTACCAGGCAGGGTTCAATTAAAAATATAGATTAGAATTCTAGGTGACAAGCCAAATAGCTCCAAATGGATCAAACATAAGATAAGTACAGATTTAGATACACCAGCTCTGACTATATGCAGTCAAGGACTTGAACATGAAATTCCAACTGGCAAAGAACAATGATGAATGCAATGGACACAATCCACTCCTCTCTCCTCCCTAATAGCCTTCTTTTAAAAGAAGCACACATACAGGAAGGACCTTGGTGCCACAGAAGTCACCATCAGTGGACTTAACCCTTGGTCTGCATGTGACTACTGACCTAGAACTGCTGTGCCAGGCAGATCCTTGGGGACAATCAAGGATCATTCTTTGCTTCAGGATTCCCATCTCAGTCACATTCTAGAAGGAAGCACTCCAGGCCTGTCATATTTTTCCATCTAAAGTCTTTGGAATCTAATCCAACCACAACTGGGCTCTAGTTTTTAAAACACACTCTGTACCCATTAACTCTTCTAGAGAAACATTCCCAGGCTTTTAAAAATTTCTCCTCCTAACTGTTTTTTGGTAGGATATGGTATACGCTAAAGATACTTGATTTCTTGCACCTCTTCAAAGTGAAATTATTTGAAACCCTCCCTCCCCATACTTTAAAAAAAAAAAAAAAAAAAATCCTTCCAGCATCATTTGACCGAAGTATAAAGCAACCTGGTTGGCCTCCATGCATCCGATGGCATCTTCCAAGAGTGAAAATTCCACGCAGACATAGCCATAGTCGTAACCTGGGGACAGCATTTAAATACAGACGGGAGTGGTGTTAGTGCCTTGCAAACACAAAAGACACACTTAAATCCCCTGTTTGTGAACCCCTTAAACATAAGCCCTCCCAACTAGCTTCTCCCTCCCCTATACAAGGCAAAGTTGCTACCCCAAATAGAAAAAAGTACTGAAGGAGAAAGTCTGGATGTTTCTGAACTTTTGAGATTCATCCCAAACTGGCTTTTTGCTATTAACCAAGAAGATCTTTGCCCTCTTTAGCACTGTCGATCTGTCGAAGGTGCCCCACAACAGGGTAATCCCACAGAAAGTTCATGTGGGAACCCAAAACATTTCTTCTGGAAAAACAAAATCAACAAGAACACGAAATTATCTGGGGGGGAAAAAAGTATCCAGAGAGAAGGAGAAGCAATTATTCAATGCTAAGCTAATAATCACCACTTTTCAAATAGAAACCACTTTCAAAGAGAAGTACTGACAATCTGAAGTAAACATTCTGTTTAGTTATCACAGGAAGTTTCTGGTTAGCAGGGGAGAGACCATGTCAGGTCTTCTCTTTGTTTCCTTATATCAAACAACTCAAGTTGTTTCAGCTAAAATCTTTATGAAAGGAAGGAGGTATTCAAGTATAAATACTAATAGTTGGGTCCAAAATTATGTCTTTCCTATCGGGGGAAAGACAGGTGTTGCTAGCAATCAATAAATGTTCAAGAATTGTATACACCATTAGAGTTATAAAATACCCTTCACCTTAACCCTGAAGAAGTGTTATTTGTAGCATGGGCCTACAGCTGTCATGACCCCTGAGATTGGGAAGTCATGGAATTTATAGGCTGCTGAACTCTAATACTAACTCATCCTATCATTTCCCTAATACTGCCTCTATATGACAACAAAAATACACTTGTCATTGTAATGCTCCACAAGTGGCTTCCTCAGTTCCTCCACTGCCTCATAGAATAAAGAAATTTATCTCTAGGAGTGGCACTCTTTAAATGGAATATCAAGGAAAAGATGTGATTTGTTCAGATGAGAAATAAAACTCAAAAAAAGTAAAACAACTCAAAGTCCATTTCATTGTGAGCACAAAATATATAGGAACAACAGGAAACTGAATCAAGGTATCAAAGACACATACACACACAAACAAACAAAAAAAAAAATCCTAGGGCAATAGAAAATATAACTTGGCTGGCACTATAGCTCAGTGGTAGAGCACACAGTGAGCCTGCATTGAGGCGCTGGGTTCAACCCTCACACCAAAAAAGAAAAGGGGGGAAAAAAAGAAAGTATAACTTGAAGAATATCAAATTTAGCTGGACATGGTGGCACACACCTATAATCCCAGCAATACAGGTGATTTAGGCAGGAAAATCATAAATTTGAGGGAGCCTGGCCAACTAAGTGAGAACCTATCTCAAAATAAAACATAAAAAGGGCTGGGGATATAGCTTAGCAGTAGAATGTTCCTGAGCTCAATCTGAGGGACGACCCCCCCAACCCCCCACAAAAAAATATATTTGATTAAATGAGTAGGATTCCTTGTTATGAGAAATTAATGGCCTAAATGTTTTGTTATGATAATAATTTTTCACTTTTAGACTTGTTAAATACTCCAAGTTCACTATGAAATGTTACAATGATACCAGATGAGCCTTCCTTTGACTTTTAGGAAATGACTAGGAAGAAAAAACAAAAGCTGCTGGGCATGGAGGCACAGGCCTGTAATCCTAGCTGCTCAGGAGGTCAAAACAGGAGTTCAAAGTCAGCCTCAGCAAAAGCCAGGTGCTAAGCAATTCAGTGAGATCCTGTCTCTAAATGAAACACAAAACAGGGCTAGGGATATGGCTCAGTGGTTGAGTGGCTCTGAGTTCAATTCCCAGTAACACCCCCACACACACACACAAAAGAAACAAACTCTACTAGAAATGTCAGCAGTGCTTTAGGCTGAAAGGCAGATTTTCTACTCTAATTTCACATTTTAGGCTAATAGATTAAAACTAGGACCAACAGATTAAAATGAATTCAATCTGTTTAAATTTATCACAAAAGCAAGTTCTGATTAGTAATTCTTTGAAGAAACAATATACATACTTATATATATATATATCTCATGAAAAATACAAATTGTTTTGTTACTTAATTCAAGTGAATTTTCTTGACCAAATTCAATGAATACCTGAAACATAAAATATTCTCCATTTTATAAAGGGTTCAGAATATTCTTTGGAAATTTTGTAGAATAAAAGAAGGAACTAAGATAACTGTTATCGCCAAATATCTACTGCAAACACTCAAAAGCATGTCCATAACCAGAAACAGCTAACCATGGAACAAGCAGATGTGCTTTTAAATGTGTTGATTATCTCTACAGTTATTCAAAGGAGTGCCCAGGCCAACAAAAAGTAGATGGCTTCATAGCTACCAAAATGCAAAGCATGGGAAACTAACACAAAATTGCCAAGCCTTAAGTTTCCTTCCTATGCTTCAAAAAGTGACTGGAATGACCCAGAAGAACACAGAATAGAATCTGTTAATAGAAACAGAGAGAGAAGATCCATGATAATGTCCACCTTTTGCTAAACAACAAAACTAAAATTGCTGCGAAGGAAAACATACCATCTATAGGAGACATTATCTAATAGCATCTGTACACATCAACCCTATTGTAATATTAAATTCACAAGCCCACCACTCAATTTCTTCTGCTTGAAACTTTAGCTATCAAAAAAGAACTGAAATTTCAGGTTTAATTAATACTGCATAAAACTTTTTTAAAAAGTGAAGTACTCAAACGTGATCTCAGGCATTCCATGTGTTCAAAACTCATAGTTGTACCCTGACCCCGAAGACTCAGATTGCCAAAAGACAATACAAATAATATTTATGTAGAACTTGTTGGAACGAGGCTCAATTGCAGAACCCTTTACACAGACTGATGTACTACTCATGAGACTACCTTATAAGGCAAATATTATAAATCTCATTTTACTGATAGGGAAACAGGCAAAGAAAGGATATGGTGCTAAAAGTCACCTTAATGATAAGTATCAATACTGTGCTCTTTTATCTAGGCAGTCCAGATTCTAATGAATGCTTTTAACCATACACTGGATAGCCTCTCATTCTTTTTTCTTTTTCACAAAAAAGACTGAACCCAGGGTCTTGTGCATGCAAGGCAAGCACTCTACCACCTGAGCTATATCCCCAGCCCCTTTCATTCTTTTAATAAGATTCTATATTGATTAAATACACTGAATTCCAAATTTTACCCAGTCCAGTTACATTTAGGGTCCCATATGCCTGAGAATAGCTTAACAATACAGCAGCTATTCCCATTTTAAAATATCAATGACTGGCCAGGCATGGTGGTGAACACCCATAATCCCAGAGGTTTGGCAGACTGAGGCAGAAGGGCTGCAAATTCAAACCAGCCTGAGCAACTTAGTGAGACCTTCAGCAACTTAGCAAGACACTGTTTCAAAATATATAATTGAAAAGGGCTGGGGATGTAACTCAGTAGTAAAATATCCCTAAGCTCAATCCCCAGTACAAAAAAAAAGAAAGAAAGAATCTATTGCAGAACCAGTGTGAACGGGCCTGAATAAGCAAGACAGAAAGTATTCATTCAAGAAATGAGTCTACTGGCTCCCCAAATTCTTCTGAAAAGACAACTTAAATGTTTTATTATAAATGATGGCTATAAAAATTACATAGTACCATGGAAAGATACTTGATATAGTATATTTTGAAAGCTTCACAAATGAATATACCCTTGTGAATAATTACTTAAAATGTGTATTTTTTAAAAAAAGGACTGGAATTAAATACAATGAAATTAAATCTAACTCAACGGTTAGAAACAAAAAAAAAAAAAAAAAAAATCAGCTGTGAGATGAAAACCATGTACGTCAAATCATACTTGGAGACCCCAAGGTAAAGAATAACATACCATCTTTCAATAAAGGTAAGTCCAACATTGCCAGTTTTTCCTCCAGCGTTGCAACAGATCATTTTTCCTTTGGTTGACACCAGATGAAGTGGTTGGCTTGCATTTAAGGGCCATAATGTATGAAAAATATATTGCTTTAAGTAACAGAATCACAGCAAGCACAGTAAATGCTCACACTCAGAGAAACTTGGAAATGGAAACCAACTGAAGCCATGGCTAAATCTCATCCCCATCTTCCATGATCATTCCATGAGAGGGAAAATAGGGTGTGGGGTAGAGGGAGGGAGACAGGATTCAAGAAAGCATAGATGAATATACAAAAATCTGAAAATGCATATAATGCAACACAACTGTATACGAAAATGATTACAATGGTTGTATTGCTATAATAGGATAATCAGGGATTTATTTTATTTCCCAAATGTAATTTTATAATTCACAGAAAAGGTTCTTGTAGGCACAGAAGATAATCCACCTAAAGAAATAACACTCCAAAAACAACCAAACAACTTTATAGTCTAAATTGCTAGGAACCATTTGAAATCATCAATAGTAAAGTTAGTCTTGACAGTATAAAAGAGATTTTTACCACAAAGACTATCTTTTCCTTCAACTATAACTTGCTGAGAAGACAGGTGGGCTAATGGGTCTTTACGGGGATTGAACCCAGGGCATTCTACACTGAGTTACACCCTCATCCTTTTTATTTTTTATTTTGAGACAAGGACTCATTAAGTTGCTTGGAGCCTAAGTTGCTAAGGCTGGCCTCAAGCATGTGATCCTCCTGCCTCAGCCTCCCGAATCCCGGGGGTTACAGCATGTACCACCACATCTGGCTGTTCTTTATCTTAGATAAACTGGTAAATGATTCCCCAAATTCTGTGATGGGTCCTAGCAAATTACTGAACTTGAAGGGGGAAATTATGGGAAGGATAGCTTTGTAGCCAAGTCAGACAAAGTGCAGATAACCTTGAAACTTGACACTGGCAACTGGTGTCTGAAGAAAGGGGTTTTTGTTATTGTTGTTGTTTTTGCTGCTAGGATGCAACACAT